CAACAGAGGGGAGGGGTGGCATAGTTGCTCTGAGTGTCCAGGGAACTGCAGGTGCCATATACAGCCGCTCAAACAAGTGAATGGCTTCAGCATTGGTATATAACCCTGAGCACAACCCTTTTTCGCATTTGAGAAATATGTTGGATGCACATGTGCAGGTAAATACAAATGCAGAAGCCATCAGTATTTACAAGGGTATGGATGGGTACAGCCATTCCCCTTTATGGGTGGCTTTATGTAGTGCACCTGTGAGTTCTCAGGCAGAGGAAAGACTTTTACACTAGAAGACCATCAGTATGTTCAAGTGCATGAGGCCTAGAATTTCAGTTAAGTTTATGTTTTTTCTTCAGTCCTTTTTCACATTCAGAGCATCGTTTTAAAAAAGTACAGTCAAATGTCAAAACAAACAGACTCTGATTTTTCTCTTGTACATTTATTAGCAACCTTCCCAAGCACAGGAACATCCAAGTGTCTTACCTCAAGCAGCTAGAGCACGTTATGTTGTGAGTTCACAGCTGCTCCAAAGAAATGAGCCATCAAAACAAAATAAAAGCTCACTTCCCTTTATGGAGATGGTATGAAAATGAACAAATACAAATTTATAAAGACAAACTTATCAATCCATACTCTGCAACAGAAAAAGCCTGTTTACCTAAAAGTTAGCCTAGATGTTGTCTTTTCATTTATAGTGTTGTTTTGGTCTTGTCGTGCTTATACAATTATTTAACTTAATAACCTACAATCGCTTGAATATGTGTGTTATAACCTTGCACTCATTTGGACCACACACTGAATTTTAATTCATATTGCAATGGTGTGTAGTAAACTGGTAAGAATTCTGGCTAAATTAGCCTGCACCAGCTTCCAGAAGTCTGTCATCAGAAATGCTATAGACTGCTGTTTGTAGTATTTTATCAAAAATGACAGTAGATTTCTAGAACATTGAGACAGCATTTCAACTTTAAAACTGTTTTCTCAGGAAATTGGCGCTAAACTTCTCCCATTGTTTCTGCGTTTCATTTATAGCTTGCCTGCTACTATTGAACAAGTGACCTTTGATTAAAGTCTTTTTGCCTAACTTGTCCAAACTGAGGTTGGATTGGTAACAATTTAAAAGGCTGTATAGGTGCACACATGAGTAAAGATTATGTACAGAGAGAACGTTTGTGTTGATAAAGGGTATGTTTACCCCCCTAACCACCCTACCTAATCATCCTCTGCTGATTATTTAGGTGAGATGGAAAATCTGCTTCCTCAAAGACTAATCATTGCTGTAGTAAGGCATGGAATTAAATTACTATGGCCAAGATGTGCACAGTATATTGTATGAACGTTCTATTGTTTGTGTGACAAAGTTTTGTACTATAAAAGCCTTTGGGCTGCATAAATTGGTTGTTTGGGTCTGAAATGCATGTGGACTTTGTTGACCAAATCTCTAGATTATGAAATATAATATTTCTATGATATGATTTGGTAAATGAAAAGTTCTTACCCAGAAGTGAAAGGTTTAACACAGCAACCAAAATGTATTGGTGAATAGGATGGAGGTTTAAACTAACACAAACAATCTATCTAGTTACATAAAAGAAACAGTATTAAGAAAGCTTGAACATATTACAAAATACAAACAGTGAGACAGAAAAGACATAAGACAAACATTTAGATACAATGGATATATTCCATAATTACCATGGAACTGGACGTTAAAGTTCCATTCCCTTCCTCTGGTGTTCCAAAGAGAACCTCTCTCTCTCTCTCTCTCTCTCTCTCTCTCTCTCTCTCTCTCTCTCTCTCTCTCTCTCTCTCTCTCTCTCTCTCTCTCTCTCTCTCTCTCTCTCTCTCTCTCGTCGTGTCCATAGTTATAGGCCTCTCTTCCATTAATTTGCATAATGTATCTCTGATTGCTTGGCCAGTCTATTCCCTTTCATAATTGGCTAACTCCAAATCCCCTGTATTTAGCATACACCAACCCCTTTAAGGCAAATCGTGGCACACCCTTTATGGAATTTAAGCAAGCCATTTCATGACTTTTTGCTGGGAAACTAAGTATTCAGGAACAGCTGGCCACCTTCATGGCATATCTAAATGAGATATCCTTTGAAGTGCATATTTGTGAAGCCAACAGGTTTTGTTCCATTGTTAGATAAACTAACTCTGGCACCGAACTGTCTGAAAGAGGATTCTCAGCAAAGACGGCTGTTATACAGTATATAAGCAAAGGGAGCAGCGCTGGGGGATCATAAATAATGTATAAAACATAAATAAAGTGCTTGAATTGCTTAAAAACAAGTGTCTCGGTGTGCATATATTGTTATAAAATTGTACATCACACACTTAAGGTGCAAAACACAATAAAGTGCAAAAGATAAAGTCTACACATAAGTAATTCCTGTCACTGTGTCGTGACTAATCATTAACGATTGTGAGTGCCCAGTACACAATATTGCGCTGCGCGCTCACCAGATGCACAATCAGTATGCGCATGTTAGAGATAACCCCTCTTAAAGTTTAAATCCAGGATTCCCTCTGGAGTGTGGTCTGGTCTGTTCCCGTGCTCAGCTCACTTAGTTATTAAGCATGGCTCTGTCCTCCTTAAACGTGACTCTGTGGGTGGTAGAAAGCTCACAAGGAGCCCCAGAAAGAAAGGAGGCCCAATAGCGTGATGCTGCTTGAAAATACTGATTTATTTCATCCAGCAAGCATGAGAGTAAAAACAGTTACTGACCAGATAATCCAAGATGGCCACCGGGACCCACTGCACTGTAGCACCTCCCTCCTGGATTTTAAACCTTAAGAGGGGTTACATGCGCATACTGATTGCGCATCTGGTGAGTGCGCAGTCTTTTATCAGTTTGGATATCACTACTTTTTGAATTTACCACAGAGATCTTTATGAACCTCTCAGCACTCAACCCACTGGGATATTGTGGACTGGGCACTCACAATCATTACCGATTAGTCATGACACAGTGACAGGAATTACTTATGTGTGGACTTTATCTTTGCTTATATATTTGTTCTGAGGTTGTTTGGTACCTTTTGGTGTTCAGCGGCTATAGCAACTTTTAGCGCTCACTTGCCCATTTCTTGTTTTAGGCTGTTATACAGTAAAGAAGGTGTAATTAATAGAATATTCCCTTTTGGCATCTATGGTATGTATAGAAGAGGAATCTAGGGGAAGACATATTGCACATCCACACTGATAAAGCTCTACTGAAATTCTTAATACAATATTTTTTACAGTGTTTAACCGCATGCCGCCCAGCCACTGTAGCTATACGGTGGCAGGGCGGCACTCGCAGGCAAAACCACGTTTTAAAATGTGTGTTTTGTAAACAAATAGGGGGCGCGTGCGAGGCGCGCCGCCGCCCTATCTGTCCCGTGGATCACCACCGCAGATGTGAGTCGCCGGGTCACAGCCCTTCCTTAGCGGCTGTTTCCAGGCGATCGGCGGCAAACAGTGACAGACAGCACAGCTGCAGTAGCTGTGCTGTCTGTCACTTCCCTGTCAGCTCGAGGATGAGCTGATCGAGAAAGAACAGTTTCTCTTTCTCGATCAGCCTTGTCCCGTCCAGTACACACCCCCGCCCCCTAGTAAAACACTCCCCTCACTCCTATAACTCTTCCCTGCAAAATAAAGTTAACCCCTTCCTCTCCATTGCCATTAGTACAGTGTTAGTGGGTTTTTTTTGCACTGATCACTGTATTAGTGTTTTTGGGGATGTCAGTGACCCCAAGTCAGTACCCCCCAATGTCAGAATGTCCGCCGCAGTCCCGCCATAAGTCGCTGGTCGCTGCCATAAGTCCCTGATCGCCGCCATAATTCGCTGATCGCTGCCATTATTAGTATTAAAAAAAACCTAAAAATCCCAGTATCTTTCCCGCCATTTGTAAACGCTATAACTTTTACGTAAACCAATTAATTTACACGTATTGGGTCTTTTTTTTAGCAAAGACACGTCGCAGAATGCATTTTGGCAGAAATTTATGACTAAATTTGATTTTTGCATTTTTTTTTATTGGACATGTTTTATAGCAATACAAAATATTGTTTTTTTTTCCTCAAAATTGTCAGCCTTTTTTTTTTATAGCGCAAAAAATAAAAACCGCACAGGTGATCAAATACCACCAAAAGAAAGCTCAATTTGTGGGGAAAAAAAAAATATGTAAATTTCATTTATGTACCGTATTGCATGACCGCGCAATTGTCTGTTAAACTAGCGCAGCGCTGTATAGCAGAAAAATGGCGTAAATTGCAGTATTTATACCATAGTTTGTAGACGTTATAACTTTCACACAAAGCAATCAATATACACTTATTGGGATTTTTTTTACCAAAAACATGGAACAGAATACATTTTGGCCTAAATTTATAACCAACTTTGAGTTTATTATATATTTTGTATAGCTGAAAGTAAAAAATATTGTTTTTCTTCAAAATTTTTGGCATTTTTTTGTTTATAGCGTGAAAAATAAAAAGCGCACAGGTGATCAAATTACACCGAAAGAAAGCTCTATTTGTGTGAAAAAAAGGACGTAAATTTCGTTTGGGTGCAGCATTGCATGACCACGCAATTATCAGTTGAATTAGTGCAGCGCCGAGTAGCAAAAAGAGGCCTGGTCATTAAGGGGGGTAAATCCTCTGGAGCTCAAGTGGTTAATGAAGATTTCACATAAATTCATTATCTAACAACTTTTTAACTGAACTTTTAAATACATTAACTTATTAAATGACACCAAGAAACTTTGCAAATAAAAAATATTATCTCTACAAACAAGAAATGAACAGTAAAAAAAGCATCTATCAAAAAAGATCATTTCTACACTGCGATGCATACGGTGGAGCTCACAAGCTGGGTCATCTCCTGTACTGTGTCCGCAGTCTCTGGTCATCTCTTGTACTGTGTCCGCAGTCTCTGGTCATCTCCTGTACTGTGTCCGCAGTCTCTGGTCATCTCTTGTACTATGTCAGCAGTCTCTGGTCATCTCCTGTACTATGTCCGCAGTCTCTGGTCATTTCCTGTATTGTGTCTGCAGTCTCTGGTCATCTCCTGTACTGTGTCTGCAGTCTCTGGTCATCTCCTGTACTGTGTCCACAGTCTCTGGTCATCTCCTGTAGTATGTCCACAGTCTCTGGTCATCTCCTGTACTATGTCTGCAGTCTCTGGTCATCTCCTGTACTATGTGTGCAGTCCATTGGTTCAGAATATTTTTTTTCTTTTTTTCTGCCTCTAAAACCTAGGTGCGTCTTAAGGTCAGGTGCGTCTCATGGAGCAAAAAATACGGTAGGTTAAATTCTTCCTTAAAAGCCTAAAAGCAGGGCCCTTATTTATTCAAATAAAGATATATAATCATTGTTATCAAAAACCCACAAGGTTGTTGATAACAATGTCCCCCAATAATTTCCATTTTGGGAATTATCCTTATACAGTATATCCTTTGTAGATTTTGAGGGAAATTATATCCTTGTAAAAGGATCAAATGAATGTTAATATTGCTTACTATTGACTGTGAAATTAGTTGAGCTTGTTAGACATCCCATTGTACCTGATGGGGGAAAATAAATCAGATTCATCAAATTTGAGAATCTTAATATTGGGTGCTCGGATACTTGGGCAGTCCAAGCACCTTGTATCTTATATGAATAAGCAAGTGTTTTGGATTACTAGGCCACATGACCAGTTCCGGGAATTGATCATAACATGGAGCAGATGATGTGATTCTTGTAATTCCTCACATCTATATTAATATATTTCTTATTATCCTATTTTTTTATTTCACATTGTTGGCACAAGCTACCTTCTGCCAATAGGCACCGAGTATCAGTCTCCAAGGATGAAATAACAAATGTCCAATATTCTATGGAAATGTTTGCTTTAACCTTTGTGGATATAGAGGCCTTACCCTAGGGGAAATCCATATGTATATGTGGACTGTTCTACTTACCCAGCAAATTTAAAATAATTAAAACATAAGTTGACCATATTTATGGCCTTCATTAATATATGCGCTGGATTTTTTAAATATAATAATGTGCCAGGGTTTATAAACTCTGCCTTCTATAAGATTGAGAGTATTGTGTCGTACTGATTTTTCTTTTACTAATTTTTATAAATGAAATACCCTTTTAGATTGGTGATAACAATAATGTTGTACCTTTTATTTGAATTGTAGGGCAATATTTGTAGGCTATTATGAATGTTAACTTGTAGGAAAATAAATGTTTTTTAACACTTAATTGTTTGTATGGAGCTATTCTCCATTGATGCCATTGAATGGTAATGGTATGTTTTCCACCGGTAAAGGAAGTGGTGATGAAAGTGCATTTTTCACTTTCAACGCCCAATTATGTATATGAATTTAAAATAGGAATTACATGATTAGATGATTGAACTAGAGAGAGCAAATTATCCCCAATAACGCAAACTGGTATGAAGCAGATGCCTTGCTTGTTTTCAACACATAATGAAATATGCTACAAAAAAAAAAAAAAAAAAAGCTACTGTGTTTTATAGTTCAGTTTTAATGAGGTAGTTCAGTGATGACATATAGATTGTGAAATAGACTGTAGCAACCAAATGGACAGGGATCATGTCTTATCTCCTGACTATAATCAGAAAAAGGACTAGTTGCTATGGGTCGCTGTATTTCACTACGTATGGTCACTGCATTTGTACTCAAAGCAGTCATGCTCCATAAATTCACTCTTTTATTACACCATGATCATGAAATCTCTTGTATCAGGTGAACAAATATATGTTGACACTTGTGTTTAATCTGGACAGATCCCCATACTTTTGCTACACACAAATATCTACCATAACTTTGGATCAATTTCCTCAAATACAGTAAATACTCCTGAATCCTTTGTTTAGTTGGGTTTTCATGAGTTAGTTTTAGGACGTTGAGAAAATCAGAACACTGATAAAGCATATTTATGCAGAAATATTGGAAATTCAAAGACTCAGAGTTTATACCATTAAATATCATTGATCAGTACTGTGTGGCATATAACAAAGCATATTGAGTTCAGGGTCAGAAGTATATAACATACAATGTATTGTATGCAGGAGTCAGGTGTATGTAACCTATAGCATATCTTACAGATTGCAGCAGTTAGAAAGATGTATGTAATATAGTGTATGCAGCTGGTCAGTCAGAGGTAAAAAACATGTGTCTGCACTGGTGTCCATGGGTGGTCAGTAGAGCGAAGAATGGCACCACTGGGTGTCAGAAATGTTCTGGCATTCAAAGGGACTTCTGGACATGTGTGGGGCCACGCTCAAGGTTTTCTATAATAATTTAACTGACCACAACTGCAATAGAGCATGCCTCTTTGCTAAAGGAAATATATGCAAGAACCTATAAATCTCAAATGTACTGGAAACCTTTTAATCTACTTTCACAAACTGTAAACAGAGGTCTTGGAACATTATTGAGATCAAATTAAATTAAAATACTTAATCATACTTTCTAGGTGTAAAGATCTAATAATCAGAATTGTAACATCTCAATTACAGATAGCAAGTCAACAGTGCATTAACCAATGAATACTGCCACAATGTTATGTTCCTATTCTGTGTCCCTTTAAGCACACAGTAATATTTCTTGAAATAATTTGATATAAATTCCTGTGCTATAGACAATTTTTTCACAGTGCTTACTGCACAAGTTTTATACCTTTTTATACCTTGTGATAGCAGTCAATTTTTGTTGAGCATTTCGCTCCAACTCACTGCAGCATATTGACTGGTAGCACACCTTCACCCACTCAACCCTGAGAAGAGCCATGAGTCCACCTATCTGTACTAGAACCACAGTTTCCACATTCATATAAGATACTAGGGATGCACCAAAATTTCAGTAGCTGAAACGCTTCGGCCAATATGAAAATAAGCACCGATACAAGTGCCGAAAATAACCCTGCCCCACGCCGCTGCTGCCATCCGCCGCTGCTTGCCGCAACCCACCATCGCTTGGTGGATCTCAGGCTTACCTGGGAACTCAATAAACGATCCCAGCACTGGTCATAGAGATAAGTGAAGGAAATATGGCCTCCACTCATCTCTATGCCCTTGGAGGACTGGAGCGATGCCACTTCCAGCTCCGGCGCCTTGTAAACAAGGCCTTTTTTTTTTTTAAAGCACTAGATCAATGCTTTTTTTTTTTATCTAATGCTTTACATTGTAGAGGAGAGATGTGGGGTCTTATTGACCCCATATCTCTCCATAAAGAGGACCTGTCACTACTTATTTCTGTCACAAGGCATGCATGCATTCCTTGTGATAGAAATAAAAGTGCTGAAAAAATTTTGTTTTTAAAGGAACAGTGTAAAAAAAATTAGGTAAATTAAAAAAAAAGTGCCCCTGTCCCCCCTGTGCTTGTGCATAGTGGTGAACGCATACTTAAGCCACACCCACATATGTAAACTGTGTTCAAACCACACATGTGAGATATTGCCATGAATGTCAGCACAAGAGCATAATTCTAACACTAGACCTCCTCTGTAACTTTACACTGGTAACCTGTAGATATTTTTAAAGTGTCGTTGAAAAATATATTTATTTTAAAAAACTGTCCATTTTGGTTTCGGTTTTTGGCCAAGTGCATCCTGAATTTTCAGTTTTGGCACCAGAATTTTAATTTCGGTGCACCGCTAATTCCTACTTAAAACAGTAAAATTAAATTGGCTGTTTTATTATATAGGCTGTGTTTTCATGTAGGTTTAGCATTTTTTCCAGCTTTTTTTACTGCTATAACCACAGCCATTTTGGCATGGTATTCAAAGGCTGAAATCAAATTCAGTAGTGATCAAAAGTTGTTGTTTTTTTTCCCCCACAGCTTCAATTGTTATTGCAAAAATTATTTGTGGGATGGAAAGTCACCTGATCACTTCTGAAAGCTAGAATAGTGCTGAATCTCCCCTCTACACCACCTTCATGTCCAAACTGATCCTAGGGAGCGTCTGACTCATCCTTGAGCAATAGAACCATAGCATGTCAGAATGGAGATCAAAAAGGGGAGGAGGTCGGTTTTTTAGTGCTGCTAGTTTGCTTCTGGGGAGGTTTAACCTCACTGTTGACTACACAGAAGTGAAAGGAATTCCCCAATGAGCACACAAAAGAAAATAAAAACCTGAAAATATACACAATGTTCGACTATTTTGGTGCCTCCGTTTGAGTGGTTCTACTCATTTCCTGTCTTGGTGGCAACACAGGAAGTAAAGGAGCATCTCACTAATGGATACAGAAACAAAAATATAAAGTTAAAATGGGCTCAAACCCCTACCCACTCTGTCACAAAAAAAATATATATATATATACGGTATATACATATATATATATATATATATATATATATATATATATGGGAGTTGTATTTTAAACTTTTTCTGACATGCATTGGATTGAGCATTTGCAGGCAGCTTAATGGTGCTGGTTAATAACAGTGTATGTTAGTGAATCTAGGTAGGCAGGTAGGTAGGTGAACTTTTTATAGTGTAGTAGATCTATGGATTCACAATTGTTAAAAATATAAGTTTGCATTCACACCTGATCAGAGCGTATTCCTGGTGAGTTTGAAGCATTTTTTTTAGGCATATTACTGGCTTTTTTGCACATGTATCAAACTTCAGGAACTTGCTTCCTGAGCTGGACAAGGGGAGGAGAGCAGTTCTATAGGAAGAGAGGTATTCTTCAGGCGCAAACATGCGTGAAAACAAGTGTAGCGCAAGTTTACAGACGTTCCCATTGAAGTCTATGGGGTCAAAATTGACTGATGACGCTGGAAAAAAAGCACATGTAATTTTTTTTAGTGTACCAGTATGAACAGAAGCAATTAGAAAGACTGGGATTCTACATAGGCAGGGAATTAGAAAGGAGCAAAAGAGAGAAAGAAAAGAGGAAATATTTGGGTGGCCATATGAAGGGCAACCACTCGTAGAAGTCATGTGGGGAAAACATCACTCATGGGGCAAGTAGATATGATGGGATGCTACCAGAGCTTAAAACTACAGAGTACAGGAACCAATCATAATGGCATTCCTGCTGTTAGGCACTGAAATAATTTTCAGTGTTGAGCACTGGCAATTTTAATAAACAGATTTACCTCTGCCAGGGATGCTAATAGCCAACTGTTCTGGAAATTTTATAGATAGGCAACTCCTATCCCCATACTGACTAATGATTCCAAATTAATAATAATTACTCCAGTAGAGAATATGCACAAAAAGATACACTCAGCATTTTTCCAAATAACCGTTCTGTTTATTCAGTGCAATTGAAGGTTTTCATACACACGCACATGATACGTAAATATCACAATAATATTACAATTTTACTTTTATGGTAACAAGAGGTGTAACATAGGTGGGCTAATTTCTTAACAAAAGAATGCAAACACATAACCAAAACATTGGTGCTGTGTGCACAATGAGAACAGTGCACAAAACATAAGCAAAGCATACAAAATAGAATACAGTGTATATAGACTTTACGATTTCTTGCACAATTGATATAGAGTTGACTACACAAGAGAAAATGTATTACTCTGTATATAGAATAATCAATCACTATAGATAAATAAAATCTGAAACCACAAAGACCCTAAATCACACAGAGATGCAAAAGAAAAAATCCTAGGTCTTGGGTTCCTAAAGAGAATCACAAGTAGCAATGAGCAATGTGCAGTACTGAAAGCTGAACAAAAATTAAGATTAGTTTGAGCATGGCATGGTGCAGCATATAAATATCCTTTGTACATCATACAATGTAAAGTAAATTCTTGCTATAGCATATTAAATATTTAACTAGATTTAACAAGAGGACTAAGACGTGAGTTGTGAGGTTCATAATACATATTGATGTGAGTGAAAATATATTAATTTAAATTAGTATATTATTTGATACATTAAACTTACATGCTTCTTGGTAAAAAACAATAATATGGTTGCACAGAGAAGAATGAATTGCTGCCTGTTATTACCCAAGGGAATTAGAATTGCTGCCATTTTGAGAATCACTCTAATTGAAATGTAACAGACCAGATTCTGAATTCTCAAGAGTTCAATTCTACTGTCAGATAAAAAGAAAACAGATAATATATTTTCTGTATCCAACATCAGGAGCTGTTTGCTTGTCAGCATCCAAGATGTAGGCAGAAAAACAGTTATGTGTATAGAAAACATAATATTTCCTAACAAAATCTGTAAGTACTGGTACCTGAGAAACTGAAAGGGCGAGTAGTTCCTTCTATAGGTCCCATGTTATGCAGCTGGGGTTAATCAGCTGGATCAACTCACACCGGTTTGTAAAGCAAACAGGCCATTAAACTAAGCTTCTCTTCCAGATGGGTTTTGCTGTATCAGATATTGATAATGCATTTCAGTCTATCACTGTCAAAATGTGTTGACTTCTTTGGTTTTAAAGGACCTATTGTCTATTAAAAAAGTGAGATTCTGGATAGTGGTTTGGAAAACATAGCTCAGTCCAAGTCTACTATACCCTAAGGCCAGTCATTGACTGATGTTGTGTTCCTAGTAAATTGGTCTTATTTGTCTTATTCAATTATTTTCTGAGGGAAAACACTGAAGTTGAAGTGGGCCCATAATTAAAATTCATCTAAATCAGTAAGGCATGCGTCAGCATAAACAAATAACATTAATATTTGGAGTAAACTGATTTCTTGTCTTGAATTTAAGAAAAGATGCTCGTATTGCTAACGTATTGTAAAGTTATTTACACCGATCAGCCACAACAGTGTCACCACCATTTTTTTTTTTTTACTTGCCAAATGATTGATAATTCTGTTTAGCCAGTTTTGTGATTCACACACTCCAGCCACACATACAGCTTAGTTTCTTTGATGCTTCCCATGTCATCTATCCTCACCTGCTCTTTGAGAAATGAAGCAGCATCATTACACAGCTGGTTTACTGTTCCATGAGCAAGTAGGTGAAAGATGTAAACCTGAGCCAGGCATTAAATGATTCTTCCTGGATATGCAATGTAGCAGATGTATCTAAATCACAACATAGGCAGAACATCGAAGAACTAAATCTAAACTCTGAGCACATATAATATGCACCAATGAATGCAAAGCTGTATTCTTTCATACACCCATAAATGTTTTTTTTTAATACAAGCAGTGTAAGTACATGAATTTGGCTTGGTATCAGTCTCTTGCAATTTATGGTGCACCAGAGCTCAGACTCTAGGAGGTAAAAGTAGCACAAGGAGCTAGTCAATTGTGCTGCAGTACAAGGAGCAATGCTTATAGGAGGACAGAGAGATGAGCTCATCAGTCTATTATTATTATTATTATTATACAGGATTTATATAGCGCCACCAGTTTGCACAGCGCTTTGCAAAATGAAGGTAGACATTACAATTACAATACAATTTGGTACAAAAGGAAACAGGGCCCTGCTCGTTACAGCTTACAATCTAGGAGTCTACCTCTTTTTCTTTCACTGTGTTGTGGGGATGGGGAAAAGAACTGGATTTTCTAATACAGCAGTGGAAAATCAGGTAAGGGTTGTGTGGAGTGGCAGAGCTGTATAAATCTCAGAACTTGACAGACAGAAACATACTGTAAGTCCTTTGTCAAAGTTTAGATGTAAAAATAATTGAGCTGAAAAAAAAACCCCAAACTTTATTTGTATTTCTACAATTGGCAAATTGCCGAGTGTCATGCAATTCTTAAATCATGATTGCTTGAGTTCCATTATTGAGTCGATTTTTAGACACTGCAATTTTTGAATCATTGACTCTGCTGGTTTGATCAATTGTGTATCTTGACTTGAGTTCTCTATTAATCGCCTTGTGACTACAGTATGCCTATTGAAGTCCTCAGACACGAAACCCCATTCCGTGAGAACGCTAATTAACATTGCAACAGAGAATTAGGAATTTGCACCTGAGTGTGTTCCAAATTCTCCAGCTCTGTCAAAATTACAAATTAGTCATATAGTTATTGTCAAGTTAATTGATGCATACAGATGCTGCTAAATTTGATGTGGGCATTGAGTGACTTTAGTACAGTGATGTGTTTCCTGGATAACATTAGCAGTCCACTGAACGTGCTCATTTGTTGCTTGGAATAACACTCTAATACCAAATGCCCTTACAGAGAAAGGATCTCAGGCTGTAAATTAAAAATATCACAAATATAAGCAAGCTGAAAAGT